CAGACAGTCTTTTTAACACAACACAACCTTTATATCTGAGGTGAAATTCCCAGAATAGCAATCAGTAATTGAAAAAGAACCTGTCACTAGCATTTCTAAGAAAATATAGAAAGAACTAAATTGATAATATCAAGCTGTGACCTCACCTTACCCCGGCACCAACAACAGCTACTCTTTTCACGGATCCTGGAGAGCCAGGAAAACCAAGTCAAGGTTTTGATCATTTAAGGAATTTTAGTAGACATGCATCCTAGTAAGCAACAATTTTGCAGGAAAATTATGACATATTCTCTAAGTTGTGCCTAGTTTGAGAATTAACATACAACTCAACTGAATATGAACCCAAAGACAATTATTGTTGATTTATATATGATTATTATGATGATAACAATTGAGGGGATGATGAATTAGGGAAATATGTGTGTTTTAGAGAAAGGAATGAGCTTACTTGGGTTATCGTCTGTTGCAGAGGACGTCATCGTCTCTTTCAGACTACGCGTCGGATCAGTGAGTACTTAGCAAAATGTCATCTTTTCTTTTTATATATTTTTATTAATGAATGATGATGCATGCATAAGTTGACAAGTTTAAATTTGGTTTAACTATTTTTCTTTTTCTTATACATTGTATTTGTTTTTCATTTTCAAAAATAATTAATTCGTCCGCTAAATGTAAAATTATTTCATCTTTTATGCTATGCTTGCCCTGGCGAGAGATCGAAGGGAAATGGAGGAAATGAATTAGATATATTATATATGTGTTGGGGTAGTAAGGGTGTCACATTGTACTCCTCCATTGTCGAGCTGTTAGTTCCTGAGCAAGTGTTGTTATTCTCTCGACATAGGGCATGGAATTCCTACTTGTAACATGCATAATCAACCTTGTAGCACACAAAATCAGCCTCTTGTTGTTAGAAAAGGGTAGTTAGAGTTTCTTCGTTACATTTTTGCATGGCCTCCATACATTATAGTAATACAACATTTGACAATGGAATAGGTGGGTCTATGGTAGTGGCAGTCATCATAGGTTCCACAAGTGGGGTTGTGGTGGTCGTCGAGCTGAGAGGTTATTGTTCGAGGATAAAGAATGCATTGTTGTTTGTTATGGAGATTCATGTTTTGTTGTTATTGATTGTCTAGTTTCGTGCAAAAACCATGTTTTGTCGGAGGATAGTCTTACTTCGACCCACAATAGGCATCAAATATTCTTATCAGAATTTGCAAGTGCTCTAATAACTAAGATGATATCCTTATTTTTAGGAGATACCTACAATGATGTCCCATATATAAGTGGTTTATAGTGTTGCGTATTTTTAGTAGATAATCTTGCGTGATCTTTGTTGATACACTCCAATGATTGCACATGGTGTTTAATGAACCTTTGGGGATACTACCTTTGAGATATTGTCCTTTAATATGTTTAAGATTCTTGGAGATATGATATGAAAATTCCTCCTATCAATTGTGTTATGGATTTAATGCAGGGAACTAATGGGACCACTTGGGCAATCTGAGCTCATTATCTCATAAAACATAATTGAATAAAGGTGATAATCTCATAAAACTTAATTAATTAGAGATAATATAAATATAAATAAATATATATATATATAACATACAATAAGATATTTAAAATATTTCTTTACTATGAATTTTTAATCGTAATACAATTTATTAATTTAAAAATACTTATATTTATTGTGAATCAACCCTTATATATTAAATATGAATGTCTTTTTTATGTGAGAGTGTTTTTAAGAATTTCTCTTTAATGAGAGAGTTTTGAGAAAATTTTCTAATCTCTTATTTATTTGTAATTTTATTTATTATATTTATAAATTAAATTTTAATAATTTTAAAATAAATAAACTCTTATTTATTAAATACAAACGACTATATTGCATTATGTGTTTTTAGGAACTTTTTTCTAACAAGAGAAATTTTAGAGATTCTTTAACCTTTTTCTTTTACATGTTTTTTCTATCATATTTATTTATAAATTAAATTTTTTAATAATTTTAAAATAAATTATTAATATATAATTAAAAAAATTGTTTGATTATATAAATTATATAAAATGAATATAAAATCTAATTTATATACTCACTTTTACATATTAAACGTGAAAAATAATCTTATGTGAATGTTTTTAAAAACTTTTCTTCAACAATATTTTTAACTTGTTATCTAATTCAATTTTTATTTATTATATTTATTTTAAATTAAAAATATAATTTATATATTCAAATATAATAGTTATATGTATATATAATTTATTATAAAATTTAGTGATGTATAATAAACATTTAGTTAGTAAAAGATACATACTAAAATACTAGTATTCATAAAAAAATATTAAAATATTATTTATAATTATAATTATATATACATAAATATTTATCTCGTGTTATGTATCTTATAAATATATTTTATCTTTAAAATTTTTCTAAGCTTATTAGAGTTACATACTTACCTTTCAATTTAACCTAGGGTTCCCTCTTTATAATTCACGGTTATCATCCAAAATTCAGGACTGTTCATTAACTTTGGGTTTAGATTTGAAATATTTTTTTTGTTACTATTATTTATTTGTCATCCAAATAACAGCTGGTCCCAAGATTTAACGCAACTACATACATAAGGCAAGATTTAAGCTCCTAATCTTACTTAAGCGTGGATCAATCCCTACTACTAAATAACACGCTTGAGATTTTGGCTTTTGCCTTTTGTTAGTTGTAAAGGCCACCGTGATGCTACGCCAATTGCCATTTGACTTTTCTCTCTCTTTCCTTTTCTTTCTTTTTTTCACAAATAAAAAATAATAATAATAATAATTAAAAGAGTGAGTGAGAATTGAGAAAACCAACAAAGAAAAAGAAGCAACGGTAAAGACAACTAAAGGCTAACTTTCCTTTCCTACTGTCCATCCACGTGTCCATTTCAAAACCCATCAACTTCCAAGATTTCAGCGTCGCATGTACTATAAGGGATAAATAAAAATCTAGGATCTACCATAATTTTGGGAGTTATGCTAATTTAGTCAGATGTATAGTCCATTCCAGAGAGGCAAAAGAAATAAGTAAAATATAGCGGGAAAAAAATGGATTAAACAATTTTTTTTCTAAATATATAAATATTCTTTTTTTTTTGTCCTTCAATTTTAATATGTTTATTTTTTATTTTTTATTTTTTAAAACATGTCAAAATTTATCCTTGGATTAATATTGTCTATTTTTGGTCTTCCATTTTTTAAAATGTGTTAAATTTATCTCTCCTAATTAACATTATTAATCCAATTTAACGAGTATGTTTTGAATATGTAAATTCATTCTCCTTGATCACTTCAAGCAAATAAATATTGAATACTAGAGTTATAAGAATGAAACTAGCAAGGAAGCATCGGATAAAGAGAGATGTTTGAGAATAAAAATCCTAGCATGAAAAGCAATGAAATAATATGTTTTTAGGATTTAAAATATCATATATGGGCCTTAGACCACTTAAGGATACATAAATCTCAAGTAAACATGTGTGATAACATGTATTTTGCTAATTATGATAATCGATAAATTGGATTAACGGAGTTAATGAATAGGGATAAATTTTGATACATTTTAAAAACTAAAAAATTAAAAATAAATATTTTAAAATTAGGAGACGAAAAACGAACATTTACACATTTGGGAAGACGAAAAAGATGTTCAATCCTAAAAAAAGGTAATAATAAATATAAAATAAAAATTTAGTTATTTGATTTTTAATAAAAATAAAAATAAATAAAGAACAAAGAAAATAAAAATTAAAAATTAGTCTGTTAAATTTGATTTCAATTGATTGTTTAATTTAATAATTGATTATGTTAATAGAAATAAAAGTCTTTTTTACACTAGATAACTGATTATTTACATTGAGTTTAATTATGTTTTTAGTGAGGTATATATAGTTTTAGTTTTAGAATTTAAAATTTATTTTTTTAAACTTTAAAATATAAAAAAAATTATTTTTGTCCCTTAAATTTAAATTTTATCTTTCTAATCTCTATAATTTTAAAAAATATTATTTTAATCTTTGTATATATATTGTTTATCCTTAAATATAAAATATATTTTTAGTCCTCAAAATATAAAAAAATATATATTATTTTAATCACTCTATTTAAATATCATTAATAAATATATCATACAAAATTCTTCTCCTAAAGTCATTGTTAGCGTAAATATCACATTAAATCAACTAATATTACATAATATTTTAAATATGTCACTATCACGTACCTAGACGGGGATGAGGACGGAGACGAAGATAGAGATGAGGATAGTGAAACACGTACCCGTCATCTTGTTGTCATCCTTAATGTGAACTAGGGGCTCTCCAAATTAAATTTCCACAAACATCCTTTTGTTTGAATTAGGTCTCAAATGGTCACATAATTGAAACTGTTGGAGTTTCAAGGGGTTTGATTTTAAAAAACAACAAATATTGATAAAACCCTTGAGTGAAAAAAACCCATTCCCACTAGACCAAACATGACACAAGAACCACTAAAGGTTTAGGATTTACTTTTTGGACCATGCTTTAAAGTTCGTAGGGATGGAAAGAGCAATAAACTTTGATCCCAAGCACCAAAAGGATGGTGCCTCTACTTAATCCACACGAAATATACTGGTGAGAGATTGCAAGTGTTAGGTTTTGTGTGACGGTACATAACCTAACAACTTTCAGTAGTGTGATAGGAATTAGATCAACATATCCTTTTATAGACTATTGCACACTCATCTTACTTCCTTAGTGGGTATTCTACAAGCCCAAATCCTTGTCAATGTAATTAAATATTTTGTCTAATAATTAAATCACATTTAGTTTAAGAGTAATGATACATGTACAACAAAATTTTACAACATGACATTTTGTATCCATCTCTCTATAATTAATGAAGTGATACAGAGAGATAGAAACAAAAGATGATGTTGTACAATTTATACAATTTTGTTGTACATGTATCATTACTCTTAATTTAATCACTTGTTCAAAATATTTACTTTATGCATGTGACCTTATATGTTCTCATTTAATTAGTAATAATATTAAACATTATAAATAATATAATGTTAAATATTATAAATAACGATCAATATCTAGCAATGCATCACTGTCACCCAACCAATGAGAAAATCAATTATTCAATTTTAACCTTGTATAACCAAATTTACCATAAAGTAATTTATTCATTCATCCATAAGCGATTGAACATGATACATAATAGTGTACTTCTCGTTAAGTTCAACAATTTATTTCTCGATAGTTAAGTAAACTTTTAAACACAAATAAGCCCAATATCACATATTGGTCTATTCTCATGTGGTCACACATATTTCACGTCTCACTCTATCAAGAGACCCAAACATAACTCCCATTATACATGAGGGACACTCTGCATATCTTAACATCTACTTTAATGATAATCTATCGAAAAAGATGGAAACATCTAAGTATAAATATATGTTTAGATCGTTGATGAGATCTAGGTTCTTTGGTTTGTGTGATTGCTCCATTATCATCCCAATAAAGGTTTTTTTACCATGATAATATGCAACCCTTCACCCAAGTGCTAAGGCACGAAGAGGCTTGGGATGAGGAGGTTGGTTGGCCACCTACCATGACAGTATTAGTCTCTCAATCTTAAGAACTAATGTTGAAAAATAAGGATGACAAGAAATACACGTACTCGCAGAAATCTTCAAATAAAATCTAGTATGAATTTTAAATAAACAATTAAATGAGTACTTGCTTAATAATATATCAGACACGATTAGTAAGGTACTTGTACCTGTGAATATTTGTATTTTAAAAATATTGTTAATTATATATAAGTATTTTAATTAAATTTTTTTTTTACACTAAATATACATTCATAATTATTTATTTTAGTTTAAATATACATTACAAAATTATTTTTTAATGTAAATATATATATTTTCTAAAATTATTTAATTTTAGAGTTATTTAATTTCTTACTTTTTAATTAAAATTTTACATTTAAATGGATACTTGCACTAAATTGAGTGGGTGATGTGAAGCTTCTACCTGCCCTTACTCTGCCTTGTTATCCTTAGTAAAGAGGCTTGGGACCTCTAGGTGTGGTTAATCACATACCTAAACACTTTAGTTTCTAGTACATGTATTTAAACATGAGTCCCAAAATTAACCATTAATAATTAATATATATATATATAGAGAGAGATAAAAATATATTTTTTATTAGTCAAATATTATTTTAAAATTTTAACACAAACAAAAATTAAATAAAAGGTATTAGATTGATTCTCCATATCCTAAACAGACTTTATAACTACTTAAACAACACGCTCCATTAAGAAGATCCCGCCCGCACCGGATCCCGCCTCTCTCGCCCTAAACCAATGGTCTCCACTCAAGTGGGAAATCGCTCTCGCTCCCGCCACGCGCCGCGAGTGGCATTCCCGTAATTACACGACGCCACAGTGTCATTTCCCAACGCCCCCTCTTAAAACCTCAGCCCCAAGGGTTCCCTCTTTCTCGCGCAGCCACCCATTCTCACTCTCTCCAAACCTCTCCAACGGAAATAACGCCTCCGCCGCCGCCATCGCCATCGCCATGGCCGCGATCGCACGTCTCAGGGCCGCCGCGCCGCCGCTGAGGGCCCTCGGACTCCGCCGCTGCCGCGCCTTCGGATCGGCGGCCGCGGTCCAGTACGACGACGACGACGACTACTACTGCGAGGAGGTGGAGTGCGCGCCACGTGGCGCGCTGGACGCGCAGGGTTGCACGCCGGAGCGCGGAGTGCAGTGGGTGATGATAGGAGAGCCCGGCGCCAAGAGGCACCTCTTCGCTCAGCGACTCTCGAAGCTTCTAGAAGTTCCTCACATTTCCATGGCCACGCTCCTCAGCCAGGACCTCAACCCTCGCTCTTCGCTCTACCAACAGGTTAATAATTACCTTCTCCTTTCGCCTTTTACCGCTAATTCGGTTTTGTTCCCTCGTAATAATTAGAAGAGTATTTGTTTTGAATTTGAAGAAACTGGGAGAGTCGCACTCTCGTGTAATTGAGGAACAATTAATTAGGTCATTACCGTAGGGAAATTACGTGAGAGGTGTAAGGCATGCGTATTAATTATTAAGCTTGGATTTTAAGCGGGTTTCTTGTAAGAGTGTGACTAAACTGGAGATTCGTTTTAAATGGTTTTGATTTTTCCAACATTTTTTTTTTGTTTGTGACTTTGTGAAATAATTGTTACCAATTATGTTTTTAAGGGGGTTAACGGTTAGATAAAATTGGAATTGAATCCTTGCATCTTTTAACATTTTGATCGTCGAATTAGTTTCTTGAATATATCTTTCTTACAACCAATTCGGTTGTCTAAAATATTTAGGCGCTGAAGACTGGAGGCGGTGAAGCACGAGGTTCATATTATTATGAATTTAGTTAAGCTTATTCGATTTCAGTTTATTAAAAAAATTATTGTTTATTGAATATATAATGTCTGCTATCATTTTTAATGACATTATTATGTTTTGTGATTGAATTTTATACTGTGTTGCTGCATGTATTATTTATTTATTTATTTATTCTGTTGAATTTTCTTTGAGAGTGTGTGTAAAACAAATGATTATTTGAATGTTACACCTTTTAGCATAATGGTTTAGAGGCAGGAAGCTGCGGAAGAGAAGAGAGAACATTTTGAAATTTAAATTGAAGGAAAAAATTGAACTTTTACTTTTAAAAGTTTTTTTTTTTTTTGCTCTCTTTTATTAAAGAAAAGAAAATACATCATTGCGCAACCTTTTTTTTTTTCCTGATATTTTCCCTCTGGTTCAGAGATACCATTTGGGCGATGGGTAGTGAAATTATTCTCTTAATTAATATTATTGTGGCATGGGGTTCTTCCAAATGCAGATAGCACATGCCTTGGATCATGGAAAACTGGTCCCAGAGGAAATTATTTTTGGGCTGCTAACGAAGAGACTGGAGGATGGATACTCGAGAGGCGAAACTGGGTTCATTCTTGATGGATTCCCTCGATCAAGGATCCAAGCTGTAAGTTGTTTCATCTTTCATAAATCATAATCATAAACTGCTAAAAAAATTTCAATCTTATTCATGCCTTGAAAATTTCGTGATATTTCACAGGAGATTCTTGATCACATTGCTCGTGTTGACCTGGTGGTGAATTTCAAATGTTCGAAAGAGGAATTAATGAAAAACAATCTAGGAACTCGAAAATTTAACTCTTGGAAAGAATATATTCTTATGACCAGCTCCAGGACCCCACTAAAACAATTCCAGGATGATCATGTCCAAAATCGTGCAGACGAGGTGGCTATTTACTAGCTCTCTCCCTTTTATTTCAACGAAATGATTGTTTTTTGTCAATTTTATGAGAACACTTCTTTTTCAAGAAAAGAAAAATATTTCTCAGACTCACTTATAGTTGTGCTTAGAATATGCTGGTTTGAGATACTATTATTTTGCCTATGTATAGTAGTCACTGCTTTAATACTTAAACTAATTGTTTGGGGGTATCTTTCTTTTCTAGAGCAAGCAGTTGGAAGATTACTACAGGAAGCAGAAGAAACTTCTTAATTTTGAAGTAGAAGGTGGACATGGAGAAACCTGGCAGGGACTTCTGGCTGCACTACATCTTCAGCATATTAATGATGCTCTTAGTTCTTCACAGAAGTTGACTGCTTGAAGGGCCACCAATCTTCAACGGCATCAATCTATTGTCGGCATTCTAGTATATGTGTATATGAGAGCTACAATTCCATAGAAATTGTGTTGGTGTCTAAGTTGTTGATTGTCTCGCAAAATTTTGAGAATGCTAGTTTGTTCTGTAGTGCAACCGTCCAAGTATGAAAAATCAATACGAATGTATGGTCCTAATTCTACTAGCTAGTTCCTGTTGTCTTTTTTGGTTTATTGTCCCCAATATAGTCTCTTTTCTAGTATTTTTCCTGGTCACAGAACACGTTACTCGAAGCACGTGATGTTGTAAAACTAAAAGTTTAGAAGTTGCAGGGTTTCTTCTGCTAGGATTGTCTCAAACATCATATATTATTTTGGTAAAACCGTATCATATTTGACTACAGCCAACGTGGTTCACTCAAAATTGCATTCATCAAGTCTTCAAAAATTTCCGCTTCTTTTAGAAGTGAATGTGCTTGAATTTCTTATCTTTCAAAGTCAGAATCAAACCAAGCAGAATCTGAAACCAATCACATAAATAAACCATTCAGAATTTAATCTAACTCACATGACCTTATTGTACGATACACGCGAAGACTAGAACATTATTTATATGCATTGCATGCTATTTTCACCATCTCATTTTCAATACTTGGTGTTTTTGCTCTGTTAAACCTAGAGTATATTTATCTTCCTTTTTACAGTGACCCCCGAGAAATGTTACAGGAAAAAGGTGACATCTAATTTGTGCAAAACGTCATTCACTGTTCATCCAAACATCCCTAAGGAGCTCATATCTGATGGCAGATTCATCGCGACTTTCTTTCCACTTCCAATTGTGCTTTGTTGATGCTGGTGAGGAGCCACTAGTCAATATTAAAGATAATGGATAATTTAATTCATCGAGCTCATCATCACTGGTATATGACTTTCTGACAACCGAAGATCTGCTTCTTCTCAGCTGAGATCCACTTCCAATCTCCCCAGTAATGTTTGTAATAGTAGCTGCTGGTGGAGGCGAATATACAATGGGAGCTGCATTGCATGGGAAGTTGTTGATACACTCATTTCCATCTTCAAGATCATCCTGCATCAAATTAAAAACAAATTTAGTCAAATTTGGTGGAGTTTCTTAATCATAGAACATTGTATATCATAATAAGGGAAAAATGTGTTTTTAGTTCTTATACTTTCGATCAGATGTGGTGACCAAAAATGGGGACTAAAAACACGTTTTTTCCAATAAACAACTATACATGTCAAGAGAAATTTCATTTACCCAGTTTTTTCATCAGGCATATATCCAAAGATATTATGGATCTATTTGGATAAATTTTTCTAGAAACACTTTTAGAATAAAAAAAAAAGTAGAAAAAAAATGAAATTAACTTCATGAACTAAAATGAGTTTATGCATAAGTTATTTTATAGAAGCTCTCTCATATAAATTCTCCAAAAAAATAAATTACAAATTACCTTGTGCTTATGCACAAGTTAATTTTAACTTGTGGAGAAACTTATTTTATTTTTCGCTTTTATTTATTTCTCCGATAAGTGTTTTTGAAAAAATTTATCCAAAGAAATCCTTAGTGTCAAACTAGAAATCCTATAGCAAATAATGAGAACAAAAAGGCAATTAAATGCAAATTTGTTTATCTAACCTGAGAGTCCAGAGCTTCAAAAACATCGTTGGGAATTGGATCAGGGCAAAACTCATCAGGGACAAAATTGTCTAGAATCTTCTTAATTAGCGATGCACTAAACATTGGGCACACCTTCACAAGCAAGGATGAAAGAATGACTAAGGAGAAGAAACGTGGCAAGTTAATTGAATGATGAAAAACAAAAGTTCATTGGCTAACCTCTTTCCTGATGGATGCATTTAACAGCATATCCTTAGGAAGCATCAGGAGGTCACTCAATGCATTAAGAAGATGGAAGGACTTGAAGGATGTATTTTGACTTCCATCATTACTGTGAAGGTCATCATCATCTCTATCCTCAAGTGAATCATCATCATCCATACCAAATAGGTCAGTCAGCCATCTAGACCAGTTACCAATCTGAGAATTCCAGAACACAAATGAAAAGAACATATCAGTTAGGACAATTTATCTCCATTGACAATATACTGAGCATATGCAATCAAACCATCCTCTATTCTTTTTTGTCAAAAAAAGAAAAAACCTCTAATTGCTCACTATATTAGTGGCCAACAGGTTAACTTATACTGCTGGCCTACTTTTAGAGGTACGTTCAAGACACAAACAGATATGAGCAGTATTAAAAGGAGTAAATTTTGGAATTACATTCATGAATAGACCAGCCAGATATTATAGTTCACATAAAATCTTCCTGAGATATATTACAGTCATCATAGAAACTTAATGAGATCAGAGAATTACCGCAGTTTTTAGCTGGGCACCAGCTCCAAAGCTTGATTTGCCAGGTGGAATGGGGAGAACCTTGGGATCGCTGATGGGATCAGATACAGGATCTGTTGGAATATCATCGGCAGATTCCCGAAGAACGGCATTGAACATAGCAACATCTAATCTTGCCACACACTGCTCCATTATCTAGAATAAATAAAAGTAAAAAAAGCAGTTTGATGTCAACTTCATGGCCTAATCTGATAAAACGTAGATATATATTGAATAATATATTCATAGATATCAGTTTTGCCGGGAAAGGGGTTTCCCATCCTGGAGGAGGAGGGGAATTTCAAATGTTTGGCTTCAGCTGAAGCAATTTGCAGAAATCATACTGGTTTTGCCCTATTTCTCCCATGAGGATTCAGTTGGAGGCACTAAGCCCAAAAGAAAAATTCGAACACTCCTTATTATTCTTTGTTACACAACCATCTATTTCAAAGCTTTTCTGCTACCCATGCTGACTAAACTGACAGATAAATGACAATTGAAAAGGGACAGTACAAAAGGTACTATTACAATGAAAAACTTGAATACCTTTTAGCCCAAAAAAATAGGAGAAAGAATGAAGGAACTGGATAGACTAACCAATCTAGGCAGCAGAGACAAACAGCCACACTCATGCCCTCCGGCTCGGATTGGACAAAGCCTTTCACAGGCTTCTCTAAATGCATTCTTCCAAATATCTAGCGATAAATTTCCCTGCTCTTGATCAAATGAGCTAGGCATATTTTTATAGTTTTTCACTGAATCCTTACGAGTGACCTTTGCATCAGAAAGCTGCATATGTGGAGTCAAAGACTGGACATCGAAAGAATGATCCATGTTACATGCTAATGGAATTAATATTAATAATGAGCTTGCTTGGAAACTTCAGGATTGTGGAACGGGAATACAGAATGGAAGTATTACCTGCCACCAAATGGATTCCACAATGCGTGAAAAGATCCAAGTTTCCACCTTTTCCAATGCTGATGTGAACACATTTGGGTCATCCCAGTTACTTATGCCTCCATACGATCATATTGGAGTCCCTGCACGAAGGTTGAATCTGTGATTAGGGTTTGATTCACATTGTCGTAGCATTCTGGGATTCCTCCTAATTAAAAAGGCCAAAGGTTCGTAAAAAGAAGTTTATTTACCCTGCATTTTGACGTTTCTTTAAATCTGATCTTGTTTTAGTGTAACTCTGTTTTATTTATTTTAGTGTAAATCTGTGATTATTTTCATTATGTTGATGTGAACACATTTAGGTCATCCCAGTTACTTATGCCTCCATATTCAAAAACTGTATTTTCGCTTTTCCTAGGAGAGAACCCCCTCCATATTAATGGTTGTGTCATCTTGCCATTCCCTTCTCCATTCTTCCTTCTTGTACTAGTCCCAGCAGGATTAGATGCTGTCATCTCTTTGGTAGTTTTGCTTATAATTGTTCTCAGCACAATAGAATTAGACAACCAAAATGTCAACCTGTATCCAAATGCAAGAAGAGGTTAATCACCCAGCAAGTTAGCACAGTTTATGATGAAACTGCAGGTTCCAATTTATGCAGTAATGAATAATCAGCTACCTCTAATATCTAATTTGATCCATTTAGCTGAGATTTCATGCAGGATATCCACTTTATCTTCCATTTGTATTATCATATTTTTTTCTTTTGGTTTTTATATTGAGACTAGAGTAAGTTTGTTCTCATTTTAAACAGAGAAGTGCATGGCAAGTTCCACCCCTGTAAAGTTCTCTTCATGCCACACAAGCCTCCTGTTTTCTGAGTTAATTAATCAAAGACAAATAAACTTTTCTTAATTAGAAATAAATTCCAAACTTCACATGATGAAGCAACTTGTGATGGTTAATGTTCATGGACTTCTGTAAAATATTATGTTGACTAGTGATAGAACAATGGGAAATATACTAGGAATAAAATGAAGTAACCATTATATCCAAAAAGAGGCAGTAGCCAAAATAATTCAAGCTTTACCTTGGGACATCATTTCCACATGCCTTAGCAACAAGGGTTAATCCTGAAACAACACTTTTAGCTGCCCCAGCCCTTCTTGCTTGTAGATTTTCTTTACAAGCATGGAGATACAGCCTGGAAAGGCGCCTTGCTGGAGCATGAACCTTACTCATGGAGCTTCCATGCTCGGCCACTACTGAGTATAAAGCAGCCTCAATAGCAGCAGCTTCTCTTAACTCTCCTTCAAGCATCTTTATCTTGTTTTCCAAGTGCTCAACCTTGCTGTCTAAAATGGCATTTCTGGCTTCCCTTGGATAAATCTTGGCATCTTTTCTATCAATGCTTCTGATGTTCCCTCCACTGTTTTGGGCATCTCCATGAACACCATTTTCCTTTACTTCACCAAGATGATTGCTACCAAGTGACCCAATAATCCTGGCTGAGTCTGCTGATGACCTTACAGACTTCACATGCTTTAATCTTTCATTTTTCAGAATATTACCTTTCATACCATTATCTGACCCACCTAAAGAATATGAATTGCTACTCAATGGAACAGGATCTTTTGCATCTTGTGCCATTGATTCATCTTCAAAATGGTATGGCTTATCATAATGAAACGTTTCATTTCCATGCTTATCACCTGCCCCCTCCTTCAGACAACATTTGTCAGCTTCCTCGCATCTCTCACTTAATTTGTCTTTTGTTTCTGAACCAAAGCTTGGATTCTTGTCCACAAGGCCATTACTATCTAGAGATGTAGCATTGCTAGAATACATGTCAAAATCACTTTCTTTACTGTTTATTTGAACACCCGTAACCATATTTCTACAATTGGCAACATTTTCAAAGTCCTCTTGGTCCAAATGTTCATGATCATAGCTTTTGGACTTGCTCTTAGAATTTTCCTCCAAGGTTGGGGAAGAATTAGCATTTGAAGAAGCAACCTGCTTTGGGTTTGTCATTGATTTATGATTGGGAGTGCTTGTCATAGACGTATGACCATTTACTGGACTCCCAACCTCAGAGGACACATCCATAGATGACACATAGGAAGAACTCCTCTCCAGTCTCTCATATGCATCTTGTTGCATGATATTCAACTTTTCAACTCTTGTCTCTGATGCCAAGTGATGCTCCTTGTCATTCCTACCACTGTTTTGAGATGGTCCATTCTGCAATCCAGTAGCAATTATTAAATGGCTTCATGAGAACTTTCTTACTATTGTTCTTAGACATAGCTAACAAGCAAAATGCAAGCATTACCATTTACCAATACCATGCTCCTTATAGCAAAATAGCAATTACTACATGGCTTCGATGATAATCTTCTGAATATATAACTACCTCACTCCTTTTATATATATATAAAAAAATAATAATAATTAATTCATCAAGACCAATGAATATAATTAAGTTAATTAATTTTAATTTACAGTCATAATTTAAATTTTATTCCAAAAACATTCAGAATTAAATGGTTTAAGTAGTGGTGATTATATTTAATGACACTACTAGGTCTTGCAATTCAAGGAATCATTTTTCCTTGAATGAGTGTGGCTTATATTATTAAACAGTCAATGAATGCATTCACTTGCACGGGGGAATGAATGAATGTTTCATTAATAGACCTCACAATAATAACGGTATAAAAGGAAATTAGCCAGTAATAAATTTGAAAATGGGTCTATATTTCTTATAATTAGGACAAAAAAAAATGCATCAATCTGTTTCTAATATGAAGGAGTGGAGGTAGTATTATATTTTGATATACCAAGCAAGCAGAATGCAATCATTATCATGCCCCTTATAGCAAAATAGAAATATGTAGG